ATCTATCTATCTATCTATCTATCTATCTATCTATCTATCTATCTATCTATCTATCTATCTATCTATCTATCCATCTATCTATCTGCCTTCCTATCTATCTTCCCACCTACCTTCTTTATCCATTTACCCACCCACCTATCTCTCTCCCATACTCCTAAAAATGTCTTTAACAGACTTTAACAGAAATTGGAAGGGACCTTAAAGGTCATCTAATCCAACCCTCTGTTGAGGCAGGAAACCTATACCATTTCAGACAAATGGTTATCCAATCTCTTCTTAAAAACCTCCAGTGTCGGAGCATTCACAACTTCTAGAGGCAAATCATTCCACCGATTAATTGTTCTGTCAGGAAATTTCTTCTTAGTTCTAAGTTGTTTCTCTCCTTGATTCGTTTCCACCCACTGCTTCTTGTCCTGCCTTCAGGTGCTAAACATGCACCAGCATTCTTCCCCTGCAAGAAAACTAATTTTTAACTCTGAATCTGCCAAGGGGATTCAGATTGCTGTATTCAAGCAGAAAAGCCTCCTGAATACTGTGCTGGGTCTCACCCATTGCAATAACCTTTATGAATGACAAGCAACTAGTGAAAAGCCTCTGACTACCCTTCCAGATACCCTTGCAAACAACCCAAGAACGCCCTCTAGTGCTTGGTTGCTGCAAATCTCCAGCGTTTGGATGGTTTCTGCTGGAATTTTCATAGGTCCCAATACTAACTAGACAACCCATACCCTGTTGAGTCATCATTTCAAAGATATTTTGTTACCTAAACAGAGAAAAAGAATAAGCACAGGTGGGTAAAAAAGCAGTGGGAGCAACTTTTGGCTTCCTGCAGGCTTCACCGTTGAATTTCCTTGTAGGAAGCTGGCAGGGAATTCAGAAATCCTTTCTTCTTTCCCTCCCTCCCTGTCACTCTATCATTATCTTCCATCCTTTCCCTTCCCTTCTCAATAGGCAGGTAAATGGTTGAGGGTGGATGGGTGGGATTAAGAATGACTGGGAAGCTGTCATAAAACATTCAAAATGAGTGGCACATGACTACAGCAGTAGCCAAGCAGAACTGAACATCCCCAAATTTCATTCCCTCCAGAGTCATGGGTCCCAGATTTTGGGTGCATTCTGTAAGCTATCCCATTTGAGGTATCTTGCTTCAAAAACTGTTGTCCTATGATGCACCATTTTGCCCAGTTAAAGGTTATAGAAATGACAGTTTGGTAATATATTGATAATACTGCTAATTAACAGACAAACATCAGCAAATGCAGATTTTGTAAAGAAAAAGAGGAAACTGTGGGTTACAGATACCATAAAACTGAGCATAAACTGTGTCAGGACAAAAAGTACCATTTCTGAGATTTCCACATATATCACCAAATTGAAGAAGTTATTCCCACCTTGGCTGTTTGTTGTGGCAGTCCAGTCCTCTACCTTTTTAAAAAAACTTCTCTTCCCGCCAAATCATCACTGCTTGGAAGCTGTTAATATGATAATCAAAATAAACATAGTTGTGATCCAAAACAGGAAGGTAGCTTTGATTGCATAATCCAAACAACAATAATCCAATAATTAGGTTGTTTTACAAATTTCTTTGAATTCCTTTGCCAGAAAGGAAGCCGGGGAGGGAAAGGGAAATGGCTGTATTAGTAATCTGGCAGCCAGCCTTAAAAATAATAATCATTTTTTGGGTGCTACATGATGAAATGTAATCTGTGGGGAGTCAAGGATCCTCTCAGCCACGTTTTCTTAGCTTAACTCCTGGTTTAGGTACCTAAGAGTTATTCAAAATGCTACAAATTCCAGAGCAAGACAGGAAAATCTCGTTGTCAACAGAGGGACGTAACTCCACCCCTCTGGTCATAAAGTTCTAATAAAAACAGCAGATTAATGTCTGCGGAAAGTTGTGTCTGCGCAAAACTGTAGACTTAGCTTTATATGACAACAAATAAATACGGACCCAAAAGGATCTTAGACAACCCACATTTATTCTCTCTCTGCCAAATAGGCCAAATGATCCAACTAAGCTCCCCTTTTCCTTCTTCAGTTGTGGCTGCCTCTTTCTCTCAATGCTTGGCCCCAAAACAGGGACCTAAAAACTTTCTCTAGTGCCAAGCCAGGATCAAGCCAAGACTTGTCTGTGACGTAGTCTGAGCAGCCAGACAGCCAGCCGTCCCTTCTCCCTTCCTCATAGCCTCACCACACCCCGATATCTCCTGCCTGGATCTTTCCCCCCGTCTCAGGATTCCTATCCAGGAAGAGACAGTGAAGGTCACTAGTCAGAGACTGTATGGTTTCCCTCCTGAAGCCTCCTCCCCAAATCCTTGCAGGCTGAGAAGAGGGTGCATGAATCTGCAGCGCAAGGCCGAGGCAAACAGGCAGTTGTGAACAATGCGTACCAACCAGATTATGAAATACACTCTCTTTACCTCCTGCTACCTCTTCTGGGTGAGTCAAAAGGGTAAACACACGGCAGTGCTGGAATTTGCATTGGCTTTAACAGGGAAAGCCACTGGTTCCCGGGAAGGCTGCCTACCAGAGATGGTGTCACAAAGGCCCTATAACCGGTCTTGTATCTTTAAACTCTGGGAATGCTGGGTCAGCCAAACTCTTCTTCTTTAGCAAATCTGTTAGTGTTCAGACAAATAAGAAACTGGGTGTGCCTTCGTTTTTCTTCCTTCAAAGGTAGCCAGTGGACTCATGGTGGCTGTTGGGATTTATGCCAGGCTCTCCAAGGAAGCAGGTGAGTGGCCTGATCCTTTACAGAATTTGCCAGCGTTGGTAGAAATATCCTTCTGGGTTCAGTTCCAAGTGGGGAAAAGGACACTGGAAACATGGAGGCTGTTTGGAAAGATGGTTTAATGGTGGACAGGACCACATGGCTTGGAGCTCCAAAGTGAAAAGGACGATCACATGCTTCAAGATGTTGGGTGAAGGAAAAGAAGGGCAAGATGCTGAGAGACCCTTAGTTTTATACCCTCCATAGGGCCACACCTTAGTGTTTCCTGTTCCTGTGTCAGAAATGTATCCCATTGGCTGTCAGACTCCCAGGGGCAGGGGTCTTAGCTAACTTTGTAGGCTTTGTCTGGACCACATGGCTTCACCTGAGTGCTGGCTGGTGCAATCTTGGTGAGCTGGGTAGAGGCCTTTGTTATGTAGAATACTCTGGCCCAGGCCTTAATGGCCTGCCCATTAACAAAGGTGGAGGTGAGCTTCTGCTTCTGAGTTTCTACTTCTCTTTTTAGTGGAAATATTCTGCCTTTTTAGTATATCCTGAAATATTTCATTTTCCTAGGAGAGGGCTGGGTTATAACTTCCAACACCAGGATGTGGTCCGCATTAGGAGGAAGATGAGAAATCTTGTCCTCATGGCCATATTAACATGCTATTTTACAGCCCTTGAGGCAACAACTGGTGTAACTTGCACTGTCCCAACAGTCTGTCTCAAGAATGAGGCTGGCAAGTGGTGCTGACCTTACAAGTTTATGAGGAACAGATGGGATGGTCTGTGAGAATGTCCTTCAAAGGCAGGAGAAGGAGACCCATCTAGGCAATGGTCAGATAAGAGGCAGCTTGCCCCACAGAAGGAATGGGGCGGTGACAAATGGAGAGTCTCTAAGGAGACTCTCTTTAGTTTCTCGGACTGTCAAGGCTAGGGAGGGTGGGGTAGGGAGATGTACAGTAAATATTTTTTACTGTAACATTACAAAAGGTAGTTAGGGGCTCCTGCTTGGCAATTTTTACCTGGATTGTCTCTAAAGACTTATACTAGGAAAAGTAACAGATGATATATCTTCTGGCTTTGCTTCTTCATGAACCAAGTTTCATTTGTCAGTGAGAAAACCAAACATCAATTAATCTTCTTAACTGGGGAGGGGACTAAAACTCCCAGTTCCCTGGTTTCTGGCCTGGTGCCTTAACCACTAACTCAAACTGGGGGCTAGTATATAACAAGAGAGGATGAAGAGTTTTCACAGCAAACCAAGATGGGAGTCCAGGTTTCAAAATGGGATGAGAAGGAAAAGGAGATTAGCCTAAGAACAAAACAGCCTAAGAACCAAACCGTTAACAAAGTCATATTTGCAGATTTGAACTTCTGCTTATTAATTAATTCATATTTAATTATTTAATAAATAAATTGTCATGCTCAAATTCTCCCCTCAGCCCCACTCTCCAATGCTTCAGATCCTCTGCTTGGATGATGTTGTCCTACTACTGAGGTCATTCCTGGAACTTTTAAAGTAGTGTCTCCATCTTTTCCCAGGTGTTGTGGACTCCTTGTTGGCCGATCCTTCCATAATTCTTTTAGCAGTGGGCACCCTGATTTTCTGCATCACCTTTGTGGGATGCTTGGGAGCCTTACGGGACCTCACGCTGATGTTGAAAATGGTACGTTCAAAGGGATCTCCCTTTTCTCCCCCATCAGCCAACCTTGGGGGGCAACGAGGAATTCTTCTCTATCCCTTTGATAGTAGTAGATCTTCTCACAGCAGGCAAAGCTTTCATTTCAGATAACAGATAATCAGAGTTGGAAGGGACCTTGTACGTCATCTAGCCCAATCCCCGCCCAAGTGGGAGACCCAACACCATTTCTGACAAATGGCGGTCCAATCTCTTCTTGAAGGTCTCAAGTGATGGCGCTCTCACAACTTCCAAGGGCAAGCTGTTCCATTGGTTGATTGTTCTCACTGCCAGAAAGTTTCTCCTTATTTCCCGATTGAATCTCTCCTTGATCAGTTTCCATCCATTGTTTCTTGTCTGGCCTACAGGTGCTCTAGAAAATAGCTTGACCCCTTCCTCCTTCTGGCAGCCCCTCAAATATTGGAAGACTGCTATCCTGTCTCCCCTGGTCCTTCTCTTCACTAGACTAGCCATGCCCAGTTCCTGTAACTGTTCTTTGTATGTTTTAGTCTCCAATCCCCTAATCATCCTGGTTGCTCTTCTCTGTACTTTTTCTAGAGTCTCAACCTCTTTTATAATCTGGTGAACAAAACTGGGTGCAGTACTCTAGGTGTGGTCTTACAAAGGCTTTATAGAGTGGTATTAGTACCTCCCTTGATCTTGATTGTATCCCTCTGTTAATACAACTTAGGATTGCGTTAGCTTTTTTGGCTACTGCTGCACACGGCTGGCTCATATTTAGCTGGTTGTCCACTAAGACTCCAAGATCCCTCTCACAGTTACAGTTATTTTGTGCTTGTAAACATCCCTTTGGTGTACCTGACTGGCCCAGTTATGAACAGACAAAGAGTGCCAATCTAGATGGACACCATCTAGAACAGGGGTGTCAAACTCAAGGCCGAGGCCCAGATCCGCAGGGTACTTAAATTTGGCTTGCAGGGTTGCCCTGGAAACAGCAAAAGACCGGCCCACGTTGCCTCTGCCAGTGAAAACAGAGCTCTGTTTTTGTTGGCAGAGGGTTGCAAGAGTTCCGTTTTCACTGGTAGAGGGTTGCAGGAAGCCGTTGCAGCAGGAAGCAGGGCTCGGGAACCCATTTTCACTGGCACTCGGGCCACCTCAGGCGCCCCAACATGATTGATGTTGAGCTGGCCACACCCACTACCCTGGCCACGCCCACTACCCTGGACCCTCAAGGGCAAACACAACCCTGATGCGGCCTTCAATGAAATTGAGTTTGACATCCCAATCTAAAAGGAAGTTTTCCTACAAGAAGTTCCTCAAGGAATTGGCACACATTGAAAGAGGGATACCTGGCTCATTTCTCCATCAGTGTTGATTCAGAGTCCAGGAAGCAGGTGTGTGCTTGTTTGTCTATGATGAAGAATATTCTGTATGCAAATCTAGATTGAGATGAGACAGATGGGTGGTTTTTATCGGTGTGCAAATGTGCATTCTGCAGCTGCTAACTTTTTTTTCTTTTTCTTTTCTTTCTTTTATTCTTTTTGCTTTCTAGTTTGCCTGGATCTTGCTCATCATTTTCATTCTGCAAGTTGTGGCTGCAGTTTTAGGCTTCATCTTCTCTGGCATGGTAAAAAAAACAACAACACTTGACCCACCAACTTCTTCAGCCGTAGTCAAAGTGGGCGAGAGATTCCAGTGACAATCCTCCAGTTCAGGCTTTTCTTGGTTTTCAAGTGGGCCATAAAATTTTTAAAAAGAGGCTGAACAGCCCCTAATCAATTGTCATGCATATTCTAATCAATTGTCCTGTACAAGTCAGAGGGTTGGATTAGACGATCTC